ATGACCACTTCAAATAAGAGACAATCTAATGTCACAAGATTAATAATTAACCCAAAACACCAGCCCCAATTTATCATTGTAGGAGTAAAGCTTTCCTTCTACTAATTAAACCTGAAACACCCAGAGAAGCTCACCTTGCCCCTCGCAATCTGTTAAACGAATAGCTAAATTAAAGGAATCCCTGATATTCGCGTTAAAAGCAACAATTAACAATTTATTTATCTAACCGTAACAGTGAACAAATTAACAGAACTACTGAAAAACTGAACAATTCCCCTCTAGGTACCAACTATTTCCTAATAAAACAAGATTCTAATTGTATGATGTTCCAATAAACACTGGCCCCACTTATGTAAATCCAAGCAATACGAAAATAATTAAAACTTAGTCTCTCAAAGTTCACACGGAATGTGTCTTCTGGAATGTTTTGCCTTCTCCACTGTCTCTCCAGTTATAAACACATTTCTTCTGTTGATCTTGCTGTCAAGGATGTTTACTCTGTAATTTCTTCTGTGTGGACTCTTAGCTAGATGAGCCGTGGTACCTTTGATGGTGTTTTATCTTTTTTTAAGAGAGCTTAATGATTTTGTGTGAGAGCTAGGTTTATTTCTCAGATTGCAGATTGGCTTTCGCTTCAGATGGCAGTTGGCTCTGATCCCAATTTTCAAAAAAACCCCTTCTTATATACCCCCAATGACACCTCCATTTCTTATAAAATGAATGGTTTTGTGTTGTCAAAACCATCAGTTTTAAATTCAATTGGTTTTCAATTGTTAAGGGCTTGGTTTAAATTAATTGGCTGAGTCCAGCTTGTTGTCAAAACATCCAAACAAGACTCAACCGCATCTTTTGCATTTCCAGCACCTCTGCCTTCACATCCCCTACCCCCGGTCCTCACATATCACCCCACCAACCCCCGCATCCAATGTATCATTCTCCACCACTTCCGCCACCTACAATCCAACTCCATAACCAAAGGTATATTTCCCTCCCCACCCCTATCTGCCTTTCATAGGGACCACTCTCTCCGTGACTCCTTGTCCGCTCCACACTCCCCACTAGACCCACCACCCCCGGCACCTTTCCCTGCAACCGCAGAAGTGCTACACCTGCCCCTACACCTCCCCCCTCACCTCCATTCAAGGCCCAAAACAAACCTTTCACATCAGACAGGGGGTTCACCTGTACATATGTAATCTTTGTCTACTGTGTCCGCTGCTCCCGATGTGGCCTCCTCTACATCGGTGAGACCAAGCGGAGGCCTGGAGACTGTTTTGTAGAGCACCTGCGCTCTGTACACAACAAATGACAACACCTCCTGGTTGCCAACCATTTCAACTCCCCCTCCCACTCCCTGGGTGACATGTCCATCCTGGGCTTCCTCCAGTGTCACAATGACGCCACCCAGAAACTGGAGGAACAGCACCTCATATTCCGCCTTGGGAGCCTACAGCCCAATAGCCTAAACATAGAATTCACCAGTTTTAAAATCTCTCCACCATTGGCCTCATCCCATGGCCAACCCTTCCTCTCATTCCCACCTCCTTGACCTGACACAACCTGTCCATCTTCTCTCCTGCCTATCCGCTCCTCCCACCTCACTGACCAATCCCCAACACTCCCTACTCACCGACCACCGTCCCACCTACCTTCCCCATCCTCACCCCTCCTCTCTATTTATTTCTGAGCTCCTTCCCCCCTCCCCCATTTCTGAAGAAGGGTCCCAACCTGAAATGCCAGCTTTCCTGCTCCTCTGATGCTACCTGGCTGCTGTGTTCCTCCAGCTCCACACAGTGTTATCTATGACTCCAGTAGCTGCAGTTCTTGCTATCTCTGATCAAAACAAGACTGCTGTTTTGCCTGCCAACTATAAGGCCTTTTGATATACTTGTTTCAGTTTTGGGGCTCTCTGTACAGTACTTGGAAACTTCCAAGCACAGGCAAAACACAATCTCTTAAAGGGACCACACACTGCTTTTCCCCACTATCATTTTTACAAACAAATTTTAACTTCCTGCCTTCCAATTCATGAATACTCTACACAACTTCGTAACACTAACCACTGCCCCTTGACATTCAATGGTGTTCCCATCACTGAATCCCCCACTATCAACATCCTGGGGGTTACCATTGACCAGAAACTCAACTGGACTCACCACATAAACACAGCGGCTACAAGAGCAGGTCAGAGGTTGGGAATCCTGCAGCGAGTAACTCCCCTCCTGACTCCCCAAAGCCTGTCCCGCTATCTACAGGGCACAAGGCAGGAGTGTGATGGAATACCCCCCACTTGCCCCTGGATGGGGTCAGCTCCAACAACACTCAAGAAGCTCGACACCATCCAGGACAAAGCAGCCCCCGCTTGATTGGCACCACATCCACAAACATCCCACTCCCTCCCCCACCGACGCTCAGTAGCAGCAGTGTGTACCATCTACAAGATGCTCTGCAGAAAAGATCCTCAGGCAGCACCTTCCAAACCCACAACCACTTCCATCCAGAAGGACAAGGGCAGCAGATACGTGGCAAAGGATTTTGGCCCGAAAGGTTGACTTTCCTGCTCTTCTGATGCTGTCTGACCTGCTGTGCTTTTCCAGTCTCACACCTATAGATTCTGGTCCCAGCATCTGCAGTCCTTATTGTCTCTGTGGCAACACCACCCCCTACAAGTTCCCCTCCGAGCCACTCACCATTCTGACTTGGAAATATATCCCCGTTCCTTCAGTGTCGCTGGGTCAAAATCCTGGAATTCCCTCCCTAAGGGGCATTGTGGGTCAACCCACAGCACATGGACTGAAGCGGTTCAAGAAGGCAGCTCACCCCCACCTTCACAAGGGGGGCAACTAGGGATGGGGCAATAACTGCTGGGCCCAGCCAGCGATTCCTATGTCCCATGAGTGAATATAAAACGCCTTTAATTGAAAAGGGAAACAGGCCTTCAATGTTTCTAAAGAAGCTAATATTAAAACTGAAATTGGAAACCAAACCTTCTAAGGAGATGTAAACTGGCTCACGTGATACAAATGTGGACACAGTACTGTCCTCACTGTGCTGATGATTCCAGTGGTGTGGATGAAGCAAGCAGAAGAAGACGGAGGCAAGATCCAGGAGCTGAGAATCACAGAAAGGAGAGTTGATGGAGCTGTCTGTTATTTGAAGATTATATCATTGAATGTACAGCATCCAGACTGTTATAAGCAGAGCTGACATTCTTCAGGCAAGTGCCATACTTGGTGAAGACCATTCCAAAGAAGCCAAGGTGTGGTACACTGTGGTATCTGGCAATCTAGCTGAAAACGAGAAGAGCAGAAATACTTTGTGAGGAAGGCAGAGTTTCTAAGGACTTTACCACTGAGAGTGATCAGATATATGCTGAGCAGACTATCGACCAAGTTCCTGCGATCCACTTTAGTTGTACCTACCACTCAGTGTATAATTTCTAGTTTACATAATTTCTTGTTAACACAGAACCTCGGTGCAGTTGGCCATTCGAGCCTGCACCACCATTCAATACGATCATGACTGATCATGCAATCTCAGTATCCCATTCCCTCCCTTTCCCCATGATCTTTTTAGCCACAAGGGCCATGTCCAGTTCCCTCTTGAATATATCTAATGGACTGGCCCCAACAACTTCCTGTGAGCAAGAATTCCACAGGTTCACAACTCTCTGAGTGAGGATATTCTTCCCCATTTCACTCCTGAACAACTTGCCCCTTATTCTTAGACAGTGATCCCAAGTTCTGGACTTCTCCAACATTGGGAACATTCTTCCTGTATCTAACCTGCCCAGTCCCATCAGGATTTTATATGTTTCTATAAGACCCCACCCCCCTCCCTCTTCTAAATTCCAGTGAGTACAAGCCCAGTCAATCCAGTCTTTCCTGGGAATCAGTCTGGCGAACCTTCGCTGGATTCCCTCAACAGCAAAAATATCCTTCCTCAGACTGGGAGACCAAAACTGCATACAATCCTCAAGCTATTACCTTAATTCATAGTTCATTTACAATTATTGGGATTTCAGACTACAAGACGTTATCTAAGTTACTATTTATGGCTTGACTGTTGTATTACACAGAGAAAATAATCTGTTTTAAACCCACGGTTTCATTCTTTCAAGAAATAACTAATTTCAGATAGTTTTTTTTTTAAAAGAAAATACATGTCTTTATCAAGATATTACACTAAGGACGTACCCTTCTACGGTGGATTCAGATATTTCTAATAGTGATGTTCAGGGATGTTGTAATACATGTCTGGAGCAGCCTCGATTCGAACCCTTACCTTCTGACCCAGAGGGAGGGACACTACCACTGCAACACAAGAGCCCTAAAATCGAAATTTCCTTTACACTTCGAAGATCACCTCACTTCACTTCTTTGGTTGTTTGGATTATGAAGCCTGAGAACACCACCTTCCGAGGAATAGGGCAAGGACCATTCGGCCCATCAAGCCTGTTCCTCCAAAGAACTGTAGTTAACAGGCTCAATTAGATTATGTGAACCAAATTAACATTTTGCTTCTGTTCGACTGCGCGCCCAACTCACAAACTGCGTACATGAACGCGCTTTGGGTACAATCATCCATTTTTTTATTTATTTTAATGCTTGTTGCTGAAGGGTGGGGAAGGGAAGAAGACGGCACACCACGCTGAGAAGTTTTTGCATTTCATTTCCACTCCTGGGATCAACCGCGAGCAGCCGACAGAGGCTCCTTCCCCCGATCCCGAACGATGACGAGAAGAAGCGCAGACAACGCACGTATCGTTTAGTTTCCTTCATAAAGTTGAGCGAGGAAAAAAAAAGAGAGTGCCTTTCAGGCAGGGGGCAGAACGGAATAAATCATTGCAAGCAAATTTCAGCTTTTGTTTGGGTGTGTGTTGGGGGAGTGGGTG